CAAAAGACTCATATGTACTTTAGATGGATAAATGGATAGAATTATTGCTGGCTTGATAGATGATAGGTAGATAGGTAGGTAAGTAAATGGATAAACAGATAAAGGGCATGTAGATAAGCTAGTATATATTCATAATTTTTGGCTCTGTATGCCCAGCAGGCTTGCAAACAAGGGCATTTCCATAGCAGAGAGCATGCCTCACGTTCAGATCTTGGTCTCTAAATATCTTGTCTTTCCCCAATAAAAGGAATAGGGCCTGGTTGGAGGCATGGTTGATTTCAGGTATGGGAAAGGGAAAATATGCGATAAGCCTAGAGTATCTTATGATCCACAGATAGCTAGATGATAGATAGATAGATAGATAGATAGATAGATAGATAGATAGATAGGAAGGATCCAACCTAAAATGGCTCCTAATAACAAAAGCCAAAACAATTTGAGGAACAGAATAAAATAGTGTTGAATTATAACCCAAAGAATAAGTAAAGATCCATGAGTTTATAGTAATACAAAGAAACGATTGGAAAAATAAAGAAATGTGGAGAAGGGGCAATTATACAATAAATATAGAGGAAAGAGGGTAAAAAAAAAATTACTATTAACTTGCCAGTGTCATAATTGCTGCAAAATCTGCTGATAAATGTTGGAATGAGTGTGTGAAAGTTAAAGGACAAACAGGTTATTTGCATTGTCATCAGACTAATTTACTCCAATTTTTACTAATTATGAAGGGGAAATTGGTAACATAATAGAGAAGCCTGAAACAGATCACTTGAGCCAACAGACCAAGGTGAACATCACCAGTAGTAAGCCCCTGACATAAATCCGTGTGATTTTTTACCCCCAAATACATATCTTCAGTGTAGCATGGGAAAACATCAGGCAAACCAAATTGTGGGACACTCTATATAGCTGACCAGCACTCTTCAAAAGTGGCAAGCTCATAAAAAACAAGGTAAAACCAAGGAACCAACACAAATCAGGGACCCTAAGGAGACACCTAAATGCAATGTGGAAACTCAGACTATATCCTGTAACAGAAAAAGAATTTTAGTGGGAAAATTGGTGAGGTCTACATAAAGTCCATACTTTCTTTCTTCTTTTTTTTTTCTTTATAAAAATGTGTGTAGAGTTTGATCAAAACTGTTTCATGATATGTGATGAGCCCCAAAGCAATACTTTTCATTAAAAATAATATATTTGTATAACTGAATTTAGTAATTAAAAACTGTTAGTAGACATGGAGAATTGGAGCAGCCTTTGGGTTTGTGTAGAGGTATATGTGATAGATGGTAGAGGAGGAGCCAGGGCTTGGGATTGGGCGGGGGAGTGAGCTTCTTAAAGGCAGCTAGGAGGGGAGCAATTTCTATGTTATACGCACTTCAAGGCTGTTGCCCTTATTTTAACTCAAAGCAATCCTATAGGGGCTGGGAGTAGAGTATAAATAATTCTAATTTGCAAATGAGGAAACTGGGGCTGAGTAAGATTTTTATCCACAGGAGCTACAATGTTTGAGTGCCTGCTATAGGTAAATCTTTAAACATTATATCACAGAATCTTTGCACAATGAGGGTGGAACAATTTTTGTCCTCATTTTAAAGATACGGAAGCTGCTGTATAGAGAGAAGAAGGGAGTTGGCCAAGGCCAGACCCAGGGCTAGCTGCCCTCCTACCACGGACTCTATCCATCTTCCCCTTCCATCTGTGCCCCACCCAACACAAGGCCCAGACTCAGCACAGCATCCACCACAAACCTTAATATCAGGGCATCAAATCATTCCTCAGCCTCTGGATGGGGGCAGAGAAAGACAAAGATAAAGAAAAAGAGGAGACAAAAAAAGCTCAAGGATATCCAGAAAGAGGGTGGTCATCTTTGAGGGCCAATTTGACTAACTGAACACTGGGTCTATGTGCCCAGGGACGGAACAACTCTGACAAAAGGACAGAATGGGATAAACAGCCCATTGTGCCAGACTGAATCTGATCTATGGGAAACAGCATTGATGTTGCCATGGAAACCAGCCCTTCTCTTTCAACTGTTCAGGAGCACTATTCTTTAAAGAGATGGCATTGTGCACTTCTCAGAAAAATTGTTGGGAATCTACTTCTTGTTTCATTTGACTCTACAGTTGGATCAGATCACACCGGGGAAGTGGAGGGGAGATAAAATGCCATAACAGTTCCAACAAGTGGTCTTTGAATTTTCCAGAAAAAAAATGTGTACCTCCCCCTAAATGTCTTCTGACTTGACCTGCTTCTGAGATCAGGCACTATGGTGTACCCTGGACACCACAATTGCTTCTCCCCAACATGCAGCAGTTGTCCATTCATTTCGCCCCACCCCAACCTCTATCCCTAGCTGGGACCATGAGCCCCAGAGAAGCAGGGGCAGCTTTCTTTTTGTTTCATGTTTGCATTCAGCACCAGTGTAGGGGAGATATCCCACAGTGTCATGAAGAGAAGCCCTGGATATTTCCTCCTCCACACTTTCATGGTATTTTTCCCATTTCCTGGGAGGACAGCATTATGATGTCCCACCACCCGCATTATTCCTCTCAAAATGTGACCTGTCCTACAAGGCCCAGTTCAAAGGTCCGTGCAGCCCTGGTGAACAACTACACTAACATGCCCTACCCTTCTAGAACTTCCAGCACAATCACACCTTTGGCTCTAACACATTTCTCACACGGCTTTGGTCCTGTCTTATCTAGGAGCCTTTCAAGATCAGCTACCACAGATGATGGAAAGATTGAAAACCGTGCAAAAGCCACAAACATAGTTGTTCAAATAATCAAAGTTCTGTTTTTATGATCTTTCCCTGGCTACTCCAGCTACCCTGTCAGCCAGAAGGGGCCCTGTGACACTCCTCCTTTCAAAATGCAGAGCTTTTTCCTCACCTTTTGTCAAACTCTTCTAACTTCCTTTTGTTAAACGCTCCTAACTGATCTGCCACTCCTTGGATATCTATGGGAGGAGTTAGGCATCCTCCTTTGTTCTAATGTGAAAATCATAACACTGGAAGGAATAGCACGCGGTTCCCAGGTCACTCTTGAAAGTAGAAATAGCTGCTACCCATCTCCTCACACTTCCATTTCGCCTTTGTTTCCAGCTACACCCCCATAGCCTGTTCATTGCTGAGTAGAGATAGCATTGGTTTGTTTCTTATAGAGTGGGAAATCCTTATGACAGAATGTTTGAACATGTATTCATTAAGGCATCAGTTGATTTCGTGTAATTGAAAAATACACTCGGTATTTATGTGTTGGTCATGTGGATCAGTTAGCCTTTGTGATAGATATGCCAGCCCCAGTGCCTGCCTGGGCCTCTCCAGCTCAGCTCACCTCACCATCCCTTAAAGACAGTCTGGACACCTAAGTCTATATGGGTCTGCAGAAGGTTATCTGATGCCTGGTGCTTAGCAGCCTGTGTAGACCCAAAGGGCAGGAGCTATCCTGTCTTTCTTCTTCCCACTACCATGCATGCTCAGCTGCACATCCCAGTTTAGCAATCAGCTTGGAGCCTCTACTTTCAGCCTCACTCAAAGTCAACCCAGACCACTTCCTCACATGGCCTGACAGCTAAGATAGAATAAATGGACACAAACTATGAACTTCAGAGCAAAACGCAAATATGTATGGATACCGCTGAATGTCAGAGTGGTTATGACACTGTCAACAAATGCATGGCCTAGAATCCCAGCTTTGCCTCTTACTAACTGAATGACCTAAAGCAAGCTGCTTCACAGTTCTGTGTCACCATTTCTTCATCTAGGGATGATAACGATGGTGCTTATGGTGATGATGTTGAAGATGGAGGTACTCATCTCCTGGAACTTTGCGTGGCTCTGTGAACATAAAACAATACTTATCACAGAACACATAGTATTTAGGTATTTGTTACTTTGGCATTAACCATTGAAACTGAGTTCTGGCTGAGAATAGGTGAGTCTGCTTTTATAATAACTGCAAATTGACTGGAGGAATTAACTATAACCTTGACAGCATTGCTTGAGGTCGTACATAGCAGTGGTTAAGGGAAGTAAAAGTATCATACAAAGCTGGGTTTGGATCCCAGCTCTTCTGCTATAGCCCTAGAGCAGTCTCTTCACATCTGTGAGCCACAATCTCTTCACCTGTTTAATGGGGGTTGATAACTCCCACATACTCACATCATCCTATCCTTAAACAAGGTAATTATGCGGAGGCTCCCATTCATGGTTCATTATCTTCCCCCTCAAGGTGCTGGGCAGCCACCAGGTACATGATATCAAAAGTATCATCAGACCCTCTTCTTGTCACTGTCTATTTTACATCCAGTTTTGCCTATAGACTTCAGAGCAGTGACTATGCACTATTGTTTGAATGTGTTCCCCCAAAAGCATGTATTAGAAGTTTAATCCCCAATGCAACAGTGTTGAGAGATGGGGCCTAATGGTGAGTGTTTAGGTCATGAGTTCTCCACCCACATAAGTGGATGAATGCCCACGATAAGAGGGCTTGAAGTTATCAATTCAATCTCTTGCTCTCTCTCACCTTCTCTTTTGCCCTTCTGCCTTGGGATTATGCTTCAAGAAGGCCCTCATGGGACACTGGTTCCTTGATCACGTACTTCCCAGCCTCCAGAACTGTGAGAAACAAGGTTTTTTTCTCCATAGGGAACCCAGACTATATTCTCTTACAACATAAAATAGAATAAAGCACTCTGTGTCATCTAGTGCTGTAGCCCCCATCCCCAGCTCAGCCTGGCCCTCAGAGGCTGACCAGCAGAGCCACAGAGAATGAAGGACAGCGGACTGCAAGCCAGGTGGCCAAGTACATCTCTTTGTCCACACTTAGGGCCTCAGCATCATGTCAGGCCCCAGCTTCCTGAAGATGAAGGTCCTCCATGTCACCTAACAGGCCACTCTTCCCCCAGGGCTCACCCGCCCATCAGGGCCCCTACCCCCAGCATCTTCCTGGTCATCTCAATGAACAGAAGGTAAAGAAAGTTGCGCGTGAAGGTCAAGATTCTCAGACACATCTATCTTTATTTGTTTTCTGTCATAAAATTTCAAGAATTACACCAAAAAATACTTGAGCCTCTGCTACCTACTGACAAAAATACACCACAAAATTATAAAGCGCTCAGCGGTTTTGCTAAGGACAACTTGTTATTCCGCTTCAGATGACAAGTGAATTTACAGGTGACTCAAGGTGATGGGAGAATAGGGGAGGAGGAAGGAAAAATCAGATGAAAGCATTTGGCAGGATAGTTTGAGCTATACTAGTCTTATTTTCCAGCTGTTGTGTATAATGATTTCAGCAACATAGCAAGCCACAAAAAATCCCTTTTAAATGGCCTATTGGAGACTCATGGGGAAACAGTAACACATCTCTAATCACCAATTCTCCTAGCCACTTCTGGCCCTATTGGGCCTGAAGCCAAAATCTGCACAGAATGGGCCTCCCTGAAACACTGTGAGAAAGGCATGGGCTGCCTTATATGGTCCCATGGAGCAGGAGGCCTGGTCAATGCCAGATATTGCCTCCTTGTCAGTAGCTTCTAGAACTTGACTGGGGAAATAGGACCAATATCCCTTGTCAATACAATGCAATGAACAAAAGACAGTCACCTTTTCCAGTTTCTTCTAGAAATAAATTGGGATTATTGCAGCCCCAATCTTAAAGTCTCTTCTTGGCTACCACTTGAAGTTCCTGGTTGTAATCCAATTGTTGCTACTCCTGTTAGCATTTTGAGAAACCACAAACAAATAAAAAAAATTTTAAAACTAGGTACCTGTGCTTCTTCTAGTTTGGCCAAGGGTCACACCTCTGTGCCTCATGTGTCTCCTTTTTTCTTGCTGTCTTGCCTCCTTTCTCTCCCTCTCTACCCTTGCTATTTGATAAACAAGGGCAATATCCATGCATAGATCTAGCAAAACAAAACAACAAAAAAAATCTGCCCTCATCTCAGTATTTGCATATCCCAAACACACTGCCACAGGGTGAGCATTCAGAGCCCAGGTCATGTGGGCTGGCCTAGGCCATGCGGATCTGCCCAAGCCCTAGCATGAACACCCAGCTAAAGCTTGTGCTCATTCTGCCAAATGCACCAGTGGTCAGTACATTTTACTCTGAGCTGTGTGTATCCTGGGCTTAGAAATGTCAAAATCAATTCTTTTCTCCAACTGAGCCATTCCTATCCTCCGGTGTTCCTATCCTGTAGACTAAAGACTCAGTTCACATACTCATATATTCCAAACAGTCCCAGTCCATGTCATTCATATATTCCAAAGCCCATAGTGAAGCTACAATTTCTTGTTTAAGAAGCCCAGAGTCTGTGCTTTTTACTGCTCTCCAATATCTTCCAGGTGGAGCCTGTTTCATGCTTTCTATTTATTTATTTGTGTCTCTCCTTTTCTGTTTTTAAATTTTCCTAACAAAGAATAAGCAGTGGCTTTGAAAATATCTTACATGGGAACAATCAACACGAAACATGCCTTTGTACATGAGCCTGACTTAGAGACGAATCAACAATACCAAAGGACAAAAAGAAATATTGATTCAGACAACTCCAGTGCACGATATTTTTGGAGAGTGCCACCCCCACCCTGCCCTGCCCCACCCCCACCCCCATATCCCAGGAGTACAGTGTTGTAACTCAAGCTTGGCTTAGCCAACGGAGGAGGTGCCTTCCCTTCCACCACCACCCCCATTCTGGCTGGGGTAGGCCTCTAATGGCCCTGGGTCTTAGGAGGCTTGGGCTCATGAATGACAGCAGCTGCTGACAGCCAAGGCCCGATGGCCCGGGCAGTGCTCTGCTTGGCCACACTGTAGTGGCTGATGACCGTGTAGAAGCGGCTTCTGGAGTTGGGGTCCTGGGATGAGTAGTAAGCATCCAGGGAGGCTGGGATGCAGCGCTTGTGCTGGGGAAGAAATAGACAGAGTCAGGAGTAGTTTGGTGGGCAGCTTCCAACCCACCTTGAGACATACTATGTCACCAATGAGCCCCAGTGCCATCAGGCTTCAGACCGTGGCACATGTTGTGTGCCACCTGAGCCTGGCACACAACAGACAGTCCCCAACATCATCACCATCGCCATCACCAAAGCTATCATTGAGAAGAAGCCAGAAGAAATGAACTTGATGCTGGCATTGATTTAAGACCAACCTCATCTACTTATTGAACATTTGACTTAGTAGACATCATTGATGCTTCCACCAGATCTCCTTATCTAGTATCCAACTGCTTCTCTGGGCCATTGCCCACAGACAATGGCTGTTTGTGTCCTTGACTTTATACTTCTCTCTTTTCTTACATCAAGTATCTTGGTTCCTAAAAACATTAATATAATCATGCATTTGTATTCTCCTACAATTTACGTCCTACAAAAAAACACAAATATTACTACTCAGAGTTAGACTACTAAAGGAACTTTGATATTTCTCTACAGCCATCTTTGTCTTTAAGATAGTCCAGGGTTTGACTTGCTAATTGTTTTTTACTTTATGATGACATAAAACTATACATACACAATAATTCTTTTGTTCACTTTCAGTATACTATTCAATAAACTCCAGAACAAATCCACACTTTCTTATAAAGTAAGCTCTGTGTTACATGATTCTGACCAAATGTAGGGTAATGTACATATTCTGAGCACATTGAAGATAGGCTGGGCTAATCTACGGCTTTGATAGGTTAGATACAATAAGTACATTTTAACAGGATATTCTCAGCTCATGATGAGTTTATCAGGTCAGAGGCCCATTGTAAGTTGAGGGCCATCTATACTTAAAACAGAAATAGAATTACAATTTTCTATTTTCACCATGACTAAGGTAAGCTATGATGTTTGGTGGGTTAAATATATTAAATGTGTTTTCAACTTATGATATTTCAAGGTAGATTTATCATATCATAACTCCATTACAAGCTGAGTAGCAGCAGAATCTTCCATGAGAGGGTAAAGTCAATATTGTTTATTCTACAGTCATTTGAAATTTATTTAATTTCTTTGTAAATGTATGTCCTCAACTTGATATAGAAAGTAGCTTCTTTGTTTAGTTTTTTAACTTTCATGTTTTTTCTTTTTATTTATTTTTTAAATATGTCAACTATTTACATGTTCCTAGAACAACATATAACAAGGTATATCCTGAGAAACCTTGCTTGCATCTCTGTCCCCTGTCCCCTGTTCCCTCCCTTCCTCCTGAGTAATCAATTTTACTGATTTTGAAATGTATCCATCTAGAAATTTCTTTCTGAAAAAAATAAGCAAATTTCAACTCCTCTTTTATTCACATAAAGGTAGATCATTTTTCTTCCTTTGCTTAGCCATATCATTTTAGAGGACATCCTCTGTCTATTCCCAAGGCCTTCTTCACTTACTTTCACAGTTCTATAGAATTCCATTTTGGTGATGAGCATAGTTTACTCAACTGTCTCCAATGCTGTTTGTTTCCAGTCTTTCAGAACTTGGGCTTTTAGTCATTAAGACCATAGTCTTAGAAAAGCCTATAACAGAATCAAAGAACATATGCTTCCAAGTTGAAACATCACCCATTTGATCCTCCACTGTGGAATTCACATAGCTATGATGTCTTGGAAAACCTTAACTAAATGTTTTTAACCTGTATTTCCTCATATATAAAATGAGGAACAATAAAACTTATTTTTCAGAATGGTTGTGTGGCCTAATTGAGATAATGTTTATAAAAATGTTTAGCAAAGGGCCTGACTTATAATACTTAGTAAATGACAATTGTAAATATTAGTGTAGAAAAAAGGAAGGCAGAACTTTTGTAAACAGTAAAGGGATTTAGAGACAAAGAGAGATGGAAGAAGGAAGGAAAATATAAAAGGATTAAAATGTGATATTGGGCCGGAGATTTAGCTCAGTGGCATTGTCTCTGCCTCGCAAGCTCAAGGTCCTGAGTTCAATCTCCAGTACCAAAAAAAAAAAAAAA